TTTTTTGCATAATTTTGTACTTTTAATCATCATTTACCAATCTGCAGCATTTTACAGGTGATGGGGCTGTTTGTATTTAAGGCAGTTTTAATATATGAGTCTGAAGACCCCCGGTTTAAAATACTGTATCTAGCAATAAACATTTGTGAGAGCTGTATGAATTCACACAATTCACAGGATTCTCCCTCTTTTTGTCATTGGTTTTGGCTTTTGCCTTTCCATCTCATTGTGGGTGCACTTTGGTGTACATTTCCCTATTTGAATAATTGATACTGAATATTTGTTTTTATTTGATGGAGGCATTGACTTTTACAGCAAAAGATCAAATGAAACAGTTCAGATTTCAGTGTCTTATTTTAAAACTCTCTTGTTCATACAGTAATAATAATGAAAATCATTGTCGAATTATTAGGAAACAATGCATTAACTGCATTTCTTGCTAGACTCATTTTAAACAGGGGCTTTGGATAAAATGCCTAGGAAATCTTTTATTGGATATGAGAGAAAAATTGTCTTTTAATAAGTGGGGTGAGCTTAACAAATGATTACTAGAAATACAAAATTAAGTCATATGTGCTCTTAGATAAGTCAAATCTGTATATCCTTAAAATGTAAAAATGCACGAAAGGTGGGATCCCAGAGGGATGGAACTGCTGAAAGGGGCAGGAGGGTGATTTATGGGAACAGGAGGCTAGAACTGAGTTTTAAGCAAGCTTGTTTTGGGCAAATTTCTAGGAGTATTTGGCATTTTCAGGGCAGCCCTCTCATCCAGGCTCAAGTGGAGTTCACTTTTGTTTCTCCTTTGATGATCGTCCCTGATCTTCAGTTCGTCCTCATGCCCGCTGTGTAAGATGTCCGAGACGTGGGGACTTTGGCAGCACGCAGATTCGCCTGGGCCCTGAGCTCTCACGGGAGTTTTCTCTTTATGCTTTTATCTCCAAAGACTGAGAAGTTCTTACTGGATCTTAGAGTATCTGTGACACATGCACTTTATTTAAGTATTTAATTGAAATACTGGGAACCATGGATTTAAAAACTATCATAGACTGTGGAAGCTATAACCCTGGACACGTGCTGACACGCACCTGTCTGTCTCATGATGCAGGCAGTGGGTGGCTCTGCGTTCTCCTTGCGGCTTCCCATCAGCACCTTCAGGGTGTTGAGCAATCAGGGATCTCACACCAGCCCTTCCCCACTTATCAGATCATGAGGCTGCGCCCAGGCTGTTGGAGAGACTGGTGAGATAAAAATACCGTCTTTCAGAATCAGATTTTAGCATGTTTCTCCTTAATCCCAGAAAGACATCAAGATGAATGCCACAGAGTCCTGGACCCACGTTTAGAACTACGCATATTAGTTGGTTGTGGATCACCCCTGTGGCTTGGAAGTTGGATTTGACCACATCTCCTTGACCTCAGTTATCTTTGGAGGTTGTCTTCTCTGGGTCCCTGGCATTGTGGCATCTCTGTGTCATGTCTATGGAATCCACAGCTTCACCTAGCTTGCCACAAGCTCCTCCCTCATCAGCTGAGCATCCAGCCAGGCAGTGCCAAATGGCCTCTAATCCGTGGCTCTCAACACTGGGTGCCCTGAGGACCACCAGGCAGTTTGTCAACATTTCCTGTCTTTACCCCTCCTGCAGAGTCTGGCACTGTGTTGGTCTAGGGGAGAAGAACCCCAGTGTTTGAGTTCCCAGGAGAGTACACTGCAGCTTGTGTTGAGAACTGCAGCTTCTCCTCTTACTTGGGGGTTGCTCTTCCTGGACCCCCATCCTGAGCTCCCACAGAAGGCTCTAACTTTGTAAGAATGTTAAATTGTCATTGGAACAGCCAGTGTTAGGCAATGTCTGTTCTGGCTGATCCGGCA